GGCCAGAACTGAGTCAGTAGTTGGGATTCAGCTGACCTCAGCACTGACCTGAGAGCCCTGAGGTCCTTCAGTGGGCAATCTCCATTATCTCCAAAGTCAACAAAGTAGAGGTCCAAGTTCCCATTCTCCAAGATGCCAAGGACCCTGGCTCGATACCAGGAACCATTTGTAGGTAAAGGTGCTGCTACAATGTCTCCTACATGCACAGTCAAGTCTTCAGGCTATATGTGGGGAGGAGGAGAAAAGCAGAGTTACAAAGTGGTAGGCTCATAAACAGAATCACAGGTGGAAGAAAGAACAAGTAGCTACTCCACAGGGAAAGGAAGAGAGTACAATGAAAAAGATCTGCCTTCTTTTCATTAAACCCCAGCCCTGTCCCTGTGGCAACTCACCACACTATTCTCATAGTGCTGGGTCATCTCGTTGACAAGCTTATCCAATTGCAGGCTGCGGGAGCCAACGATCTGGATCCAGAAGTGGTTAGGGTGCTCAGAAGCAGAGACGTAGACTTCTAGGTACTCATCAGCATGGAAACTGAAGTCAGGACTGGGGACTAAACACAGAGATAAGGATGGTGGCCACATTGGACCCATCTCTGGTTGGAATGAAGAGATTACACCAGGGCAGTGAGAAGTACAAATACCAATGGCTGTTACCACTTTAAAATGGCAGGAGAGGCAACTGGATGAATCAAACAAGAATATCCTAAAGAAAGATACTAAGCTATCCTTTGTACCTTTCCATGTAACTGAGTAATAACAGCTTACATTCTTTGTCATGTGCTACGTATTCAAATCAGTCACCAATTATAAAGAAGGTAAACCTCCATATGCTAGCTGCAGCATGGATCAGTAAAAAGATATGTGGATAGCAACCTTTACGTGGACCGCGACGGATGTGGGCCTGTTCCAGATCCCATTCTACCAATGACTGCTTATGTCACCCTGGACAAGTCTGTGAGCTTCTTGGGGACCCAGGTCCTCTTTGCCCACGCTAGCACCTATGTATAGAAGAGATAGCTCACAGCCTTTTCTTTTTCAATAGTGATGATTTTTAAAAACAATAATGAAACAGGCAATATAAAATCTGGCTGAGAATTTTACTTGTTGATAAAGTATGTCTAGGCTGGGCGTGGTGGCTCATGCCTGTAATCCCAGCACTTTGGGAGGCCAAGGAGGAAGGATCATTTGAGGCCAGGAGTTTGAGACCAGCCTGTCCAACATGGTGAAACCCCATCTCTACTAAAAAATACAAAAATCAGTCGGGTGTGATGGTGTGCATCTGTGGTCTCATCTATTCAGGAGGCTGAGGCATGAGAATCGCTTGAATCTGGGAAGCAGAGGTTGCAGTGAGCTGAGATCACGCCACTGCACTCCAGCCTGGGAGACAGAGGAAGACTCTGTCTCGAAAAAAAAATAAAAGTATGTCTAGAGAAACAGTATCAGGTAAATCCAATTATTTGATGTATTACTCATTTGTTTCCTGTGTCAGCATTTCGCCATTTTCATCAGCTGTTTTATATTTAGAAAAATATTTATGTTTAGTATTAATTCAACTAAAATATTATTACCAGAAAGGATTATCTCTGATGATAGACATAAGTGTATTCATGAAACAAGCTTTTTATTGCTTTCTATTTTGGGTAATCTAAGCCAGTATTTCTTTTTAAAAAAATATTT